TGAAAGATTTTCTGAAAATGAAGACGTTTTTATTTCGTTTCTCCCAAAGGTTTCCTACTCTCGAAGCTCCATTCAAAAATAGTGAAAGTATTGTTTTTAAACGGAAGAGGTAATAAATTTAGTTTTAGTTGCTCAGTATGCGATTAGTAATTAAGATACAAGATAACTTCAAAAGAAAAAAAGGTACAAGGGCATGTTGGAGGATGTTAACGCAACTAAACAAGGCTAACTCAAAAACCTTATCTCTAAGGCAAAAAAAAGCAATAAAATGACTAACAGATAATTCGTCATTCAGATTACTCTATCTCCAATCACTTGCTACGTACATACTTTCGAACGCATCTTCATTGAAAAAGGAACATCGAATGCGTTTTAACCCTCAGCATGAGGTAAAGCGTTATTGGAGAAAGTGCAAGCTGGTGTGGTTGGTCGAAAGTTTCCTAAATTATATATGTGGCCCTGAAAAAGAATAGTGCACGCTGCTAGAACGCATCTTCATTTAAAAAGGAACATGGGTTATGCTTTAGACTCTTAGCAACGACTTCTACAGCAACCTACCTTATCAACCTCTGTAGGTGGGTGGGAGAGTGGGTGAATGGGGGGGGCACTGTCGAAGGGCCCACTGGCTTCTGTCTCAGGACATACGCATATACCTTATGCATTGGCGGCGCATCTTCAATGCATAAGCTACATCGATTACCTTTTAGGTACTCAGCGGGAGGTGTCAAAGGTACATCAAATGCCTTTTAGACACTCAGCATGGGGTCTCACTCTGTCGAAGGGGCCCCATAGCGCCCTACTATCGAAGGAGAGCGAGAGAGAGGGATAGAGAGAGAGAGAGAGAGAGAGAGAGAGAGAGAGAGAGAGAAAACAGCATCCGCACTATACGGTTTACGCGCCTAGCAAGCTAGAGACGCTACCCCCTCTCCGAGGCTCCACACTCAGCCAGCATAAGCATATAGTTTACCAAACACCCTACCGACTTCTACAGCATCCTACCTTAACAACCTCTGTGGGTGGGTGGGTGGGTGAAGCGTCCTACTATCGAAGGAGAGCGAGGGGGGGGGGCACTGGCCACCTCGAAGGGGCCCACTGGCACGCGGGAGGTGTCGAACGAACATCAAATGCAACACTTAACATGGGGTCTCACCCTATCGCGATTAAAAGGTGTCACTATCGCGACACCTTCATCGGGCGGCCTCTTTGTGTCCCAGAACATACACATATCCCTTATACATTGGCGGCGCGCGCGAGATGTCAAACCAACATCAAATGCCCTTTAACACTCAGCATGGGGCCCACTGGCACGCGGAAGGTGTCTAAGGTACATCAAATGCCTTTTAGACACTCACCATGGGGTCTGACCATAAATTAAAAGGTGTCACTACCTTCACACCTTCATCGGGCGGCTCCTTTGTGTCCCAGAATATACACGTATCCTTATACATTGGCGGCATCCTTTGTCGGCTCCTTTGTGTCCCAGAACATACATTGCTTATCTACTCATAACGTAGTTTTTCAACTCAAAAGTTATTCAAATTCATCCTTTGAAATTACGAGATTTTCTTAACACTTTCGTGTTTATACTAGCAATGCCTCGAAAAAGATCGAGAAGTGCTGTTTCTTCTGAATCTGGAAGTGAATCTGAATCATACACCACAGACGATGATGAAAATTGCATGATACCAAATGCAGAATATTCTGGTTCGTCAGATTCTGAAAATGATTCAGATAGTGATTCAGATAATTACCGTGATGAAAAAATACCGAAAGCTACTTACAAGAGAGTTTCAAAAAGTTATCAAGCTGATCAAGCTAAGCTTGAAAAAGATCATAAATTTGATTGAGTAGATGGTGAAAAGATATATTCTGATATAATTGAAGATAAAATATTATTTCCTAGATCTACAAAAGAAAAAATTAGAAAATGTGATCCAAGAGAACTGTTTTTTTTCTATTGAAATGAAAAATTATATTATCGATGCATGTAAGGAAAATCATTTTGTCTTATCATTAGTCGATCTAAATACATTCATTGGAATCATTATAACAAGTTCATTCAATAAACGAAAATCTCAAAGAGATTATTGATCAACTGACCCTTTTTTATATTGTGAAAAAATTTCTTCAGCAATGTCACGATCTCATTTTGAAATGATAAAGACTAAATTGAAATACTCAAAGGCCAAAGATAAAGATCCACTAGATAAGGTTTGGCGAGTTCGTGCTTTTTTGAAACTGTTTTAAAAGAATATTCTGAAGTTTGGCTTTTGGAAATCAGCTTTATCAGTGGATGAAATGATGGCTAAATCGTATGCTAGAACGTGTTTGAAACAGTTTATACGAGGAAAACCTACACGATTCGGTCTTAAATTTTGGGGTTTGTGCGCTGCTAATGGATACTTATTCAATATATATTTATATTGTGGAAAGAACTCTGTAATAGGAGATAAGTTATCTAAATACGCTTTAGGATCTCGCGTGGTTTTACATTTATTGAAGCCTTTTTTTGAATTGACTTCTGATGCAAAAATTCCTCTTTATCATCATTATTTTAACAATTACTTTACAAATTTAGATCTTGTTGTGCATTTAAACCGATTAAAATTGAAATGTACTGGAACTGTTAGAGACAATCGTGTCCCAGTAAAAAATGTCATTCATAAAAAGGCTCCACGTGGAACATATGCAGTAAAGCATGAAAAAAACTCTGGAATAAATTACATCACGGTTATGATTCAAAGCCAATATCAATACTATCTGCAGCTGCAGAGGTCACTCGATTATCATCAGCAAAGAGATACAGTTCGATCGAAAAAGAAAAAGTCGATATACCAGTTCCGCAAGCTTTTCACCTTTATAATCAGTCCATGGGTGGAGTTGATGTACACGACGGTCACTGTAACAATTTGTTGCCAAGTATTCGTTTAAAGAAGTGAACGTGAGTGGTTTTCATTAGACTTATCCAAGCAGCAATTACAAATGCAGTTGTAATATCCAATGCTGCTGATGATAGTAAAAAAAAAGTTGGAACTAAAGAATTTGCAATGTCAATAGCGAAAAGTTACATTCATGATGCTGAAAAAAATAAGGAAAAGCATACAACAATTCGAAAAAAGAAACAGAACAAGTGTTCCATTTGTCCAATAAGAACAAATGGGTACTGTGAAAAGTGCAATTTGTTTTTTTGCAGTGCATACATGAAAGCAAAGCATGTCTGATTACAGTGAGAGGCCAGGGAACTCACTATAAAAAAGCACCTCGTAGAGTAAGAGTCGAGGGGACTCACTATAAAAAAGCACCCCGAGGAGTGAGAGGCAAGGGGACTCACTATAAACAAGCCCCTCGAAGGAGACATGATTTTACTACGTCCACGCTGTTGTCTCTGGGTTACGCTAAGAGTAAAATATAAATATAAACTGAAAGTAGTCACACTTTAGCGGTACTTACGCAATACTTTATTTAGAACCTTTTGATAAATTAAACTTCGGTACGTTTATACCCCAACTTATCTTATAAAATTCCAAAAGTTGAAACGGTTGAATAGAATTTCCACAATTGTTTGAGAATTTTTTTCTCGAAAACTATTAGCTTTAGGAAAAAATTTATAAGATCAAAAATGTCTTAGAATTAGTCAAAGAATACTCTCTAATTTTTCCAGAATTTTTCGAAATTTTTTTGAAATTTTCAATTCTGTAATTTTTTGAAAAATTTTCAAAAATTTTCAAAATATTTCAAAAAATTTCAGAGTGTTCCTTGACAAATTATAAGTCATTTTTGTTATATAAAACTTTTTTCTTAACCTCATAGTTTTTGAGAAAAAAATAGTAACCTAAAACGCATTCTTTTTCCAGATTTTGGCATTTTTTTCCGCCATTTTGGAAAAAAAACTTTGAATATAAAAATTTTCTGTTAAAGTTCAATAATTTTGTGCACTCATGGTTAAAGAAAGATTTCGATATTGATATATATTATGGTAGAAAAAAAATTCCAAAAAATTTTTTTTTCAAAATTTACCTATTTTTTTATAAAACACCGGCCATATTTAATTATGTAAGCAAAATTTTTAAATTTTGAGCCCGGATTTAGATTCAGCACACCCAAAAACATAAGGTATGGTACCGTGGATCAATTTATTGTTTCGTTTCATAAATGAATTTTGCGATCAAAATATGTCCAAAACTGACCTCTTTGGTCGTTAATGGGTTAATACAGATCCTAGTCTATTGAAAACTTACGTAGCAAATAGGGTAATTCAAATATTAGACAAGACTCAGATTAATCAATGGCGACATGTACGTACTCTCTTTAATCCAGCAGATAAATTATCACGCGGTCAATTAGCTCACAAATTTGAACAAAATAACGACATACGAGTATGGTTTCACGGTCCCCCTTGGCTCAGACAAGACGAAGCACATTGGCCTAAATCAAATTTTAAATTGAAGGAAATCGTCTTGCCGGAAACGAGAAAGGCTACATGTTTGAAATTATCAATTAATATTGACTATTTGAAAGCAACAAATGATTTTTTTAAGCTCAAACGTATTCTAGCTAGATGGATTCGCGTATTTGCAAAGTTTGGACATAGCAAGGTACAGAAATTGAAAACCGATGACTTTATACCGTTATGCAAAAAATTGACATCGAAAGAATTAGACTACGCTGAACTAATAGTGATAAAATTCGTGCAAAGAAATGCCTTTCATTATGATATTAAATCCTTGAACAAAGGTCAATCAGTCGATAAAGAGAGTCGGATATATACTTTGGATCCTTTCGTAAACGCGAATGGCTTGCTTCAAGTAGGAGGTCGTTTAGAAAATGCAAACTTATCATACCATAGAAAACATCCGATTCTTCTGCCTAAATCTCATTTCATTACGGAATCAATCATAAATCATTATCACAATATCTATTGTCATACCGGTATACAAACAACTCTTTACATTTTACGTTAAAAATTTTGGATTATTGATGGAAGAAATAAAGTGCGAAAAATGATTAAACGTTGCGTGAAATGTTTCCGAGCTAGACCAAAATTAGCTGAGCATAAAATGGGTAATTTACCGGAGGTACGCACGAATTTAACACGTGCCTTTTTGAATATAGGCATCGATTATTACGGACCTTTTTACATAAAGGAAAAGAAATATCGAAATCACAAAAGGATAAAAACGTACGTCGCTGTGTTTATATGTATGTCATCAAAGGCTATACACATTGAAGTAGTTAGCGACTTGACCATTGATACCTTCTTAGGAGCTTTGAGACGTTTTATTGCCCGACGTGGAAAGCCACAATATATGCTGATAATGCTACGAATTTTCAAGGCGCTAAAAACAAATTATATGAATTATATGCTCTCGCGAATTCGGACGGTTTCAAAACGACGGTAAACAATTATGCTAGTAATAATGGCATCGAATTTCATTTCATTCCACCTTCCTCGTCATACTTCGGGGGATTGTGGGAGGTTGGAGTGAAATCATACAAGCATCATTTTACAACAGTTGCATACAATCATGTTCTAACATTTGAAGAGTTCTACACTCTCTCTTTGGAAATTGAATTGATACTCAACTCGAGACCTCTTACGCCCATTCCCACTGATACAAATGATTTGTCCGCCTTGACAGCGGGTCATTTCTTGATTGGAGACTCATTAATCGCACTACCCGAACCTGATTATACACCCTTACCTTCAAACCGATTGTCTGCTTGGCAATTAATAACAAAGATACGAGAAGATTTTTGGAAAAGATGGAGTACAGAATATTTGAATGAGGTGAATGTAAGGCGAAAGTGGAACTGTAAAACTAAGAATCCTGAAGAAGGTACAATTGTCATTATCAAAGATGATAATACTCCAACAATGCAACGGCCCTTAGCTAGAATAACTCAACTTCACAAGGGCAAGGACGGCATAGTACGAGCAGTGACTCTGAAAACAGCAAATGGTGTTGTGAAGAGGACAGTAAAAAAAATTGCAATTCTGCCGATTGCCAGCGATTGATACGATTCTTGTTCGTTTATACTCTCAACGGGCGGAGTATGTACGATATCGAGTAGTTTTACGGTTATTATATCGGACAATTTCATAGACTTTAAATTTAATTTAGTTGAACTCACGTTATTTGCATATAATTATATTTTATTTATATTGTATTACCGACATTCATTTATGATTCACTCATTGTATTCAATTTAAGTAATTCTAAGAAAGGCGGTACCTCGCTAAGTCGTTGAGTGGGTGTCATACTTGGATTCACTGAGGACTATCACAAAGTGCTAATGAATATGAAACATGAATTAATTCTCATAAGATCGAGTACCGATTTAAATGCAGTTTATCAAACGAAGAAGACCGTGGTCGACGTTGAAGCTTACAAAGGATTCAAGATTAATATAAGGCCGATTCTATCTCAAATCATACGGAGCTGATTATACCCCAAAATGTCCAAAATGAAATGTCCAACCCAAAATGTGCAAAGGAAAATGCCCACAGAAAATAATGTCCACAAGTCAAATGTCCACAATTGATATGTCAAATATGTCCAAATTTTATTCACGTATTAAGATGGTGACCAATTATTTTGAGAAATTCCAATTCATTTTCTTCGTCGACATAACTTTGATATGCGGCAACGACGGCGGCAATACGTTCTTCGGCTCGAAGTTGGCTGCTTTTAGGCAATTTTTTCACTTTTTTACCCAAACTTATTTCCCGCGACATATACTCAACGTCAGCCTGTTCTTTCTGGATCTCCGTAAGAAAACTGTAGAGGCTCGGATGACGGCGACCAACTAATATTTGGAAGCGGTTATGCCAGCCCTCGGAAGCATTATTTGTCCGCGCAACTCCTTGAAGAACAGAGTTGTACTGATTCCATAGGGCTGGCGCGTACCGAACTCTTACTGCTTTTCTCCGGCCAATTGCTCGAATACCTCGGACGTAATTAATTTCAAAGTATGTAGCTATTGGAATAAACTCTTCTGGCATTTCATTTTGAAAGAGGTCGAATATCTCTGGCACATTGTCTGGGGGCACGTAGGCTAAGGCACACATGGAATGCGCAGCTTCTCGAATACTATTGTCATTCGGATCGCCGTACTGTTGCTGTAGACCTTCAGATTGTATTTTCCGGTATATGCTTTGACGAAGATGAAAGAAGCACAGTCGAATTATATTTTCACCGAAATGATTTTTCACAGCGTTAATTATCGCCAGCTCGAAATCAGTCATTACAATCTGAGGATGACGTATTCGTATACCGGCCTCTTCAGCAGCGGAGAGAGTAACTTCTATGACTTTGGAGTATGCTATTTCTTTTTTATTTTCCAAGAGTGCGTAGACTAATGGTATAGCGATTTTACGTTCAGTGCCTTTGTAAGTTTGGGTAACTGAACCCATTATAGTAAAAAGCTGGAAGAAAATCGATGGTACAGTGTCGAACGTACCATCTAGGAACCAAATTGTTGAGCTGAACAGCAATCGTAAATTTTCGCGCGTTGCGAACACTAATATTCTGTCCGAATTGTAATCCTCGTCTGTATGAGAGTCATACATCAGGAAAGTATCTCCAACGAGCGTTTTTGTAAAAGTTTCAGGTATATCTTAAATGTTATACTTTATAATAAATGTATAGCTGCAGGAGATGGTATGTAAAAAGATATGTTGACTCTTATACCTTTTATGTCTTCTATGGTAGTGGGATTAGACGGTAGATGCAGTAAACGTTCGCGCTGTATAGTTTTTTTAATGTTGCCAATGTCAGGTAAACGAGCTTGCACAGCTTCATTACAATCCTGTGCTTCTCGCGTTATAGCAGAAGGAGGACGAGCACGGTCACTTATAGCCGAACGCTGTTATATCAGCTAAAATTATTTCTATTCAATGTAGAAAAATATAGAGTGGTACCTTAATATTTCCCATAATGCGCACAGATTCGACTTCTTCGGGATTAGGTTCATGAGTGTGAGAGTTTGCCGACCCACCTCTCCGAATCAAAACACTGCGACCCGTGCTGACGGTAGTCAAACGCGCGGCGCATTGACCTCGATATCGACACTTCCAATATTTTACATCACCTTTGGAAGTCGATGCAGAGTATAAGAAACCGTCAATGTGTCCATAAGTAGAAGACCCTTTCTTAATTATTTCTAATGTACGATATGCCATTGTCGAGGTTCAACGAAAATTTTGAAAAATCATGAGTGAGAGTGTACACAAATGTTAATACATGTAAGATATGAAAGGTTATGGTGAATGAAAAAAACGCTATCGGGAAAACAATCGAAAGCAAAAAACTAATGAAATACATATTTTTATTTTGGACAATAAATAACTGTGGACATTTTGGCTTGGACATTTTAGTTTGGACATTATGGGGAGATACCTACGGAGCTCCATGGGCTCCCATGAGCAAACCACACCAAACTATTTTTTTGAGATTCTATGATGAAAATAAAGCGACACGTATTTTTTTTCTTTTTGACTTAGACGCATATTTGATTTAATATTGAATTTTGAAAATTCACTTCTAAAATTCAAAGTTAAAAAAAATTTTGAGAGTTAGATTTCGACTTTCTACTGCTCGGTCATTATTAGTCCAAATCGGATGAAACTTTTTTCATATTGTAGCAAAATTGAAGACCTTCAAATGTACGTGATCAAAAATGTGCATAAATGCATTTTTCAGAAGATTATGCACTTTTGCATAAAAATTGCATCCTGTAAAAATACCGATTTATCTCAAAAAGGCCATCTTTTTTTTGGCCCATTTTTTTTTTGTAGATTCGTTGTACCATCGTGTTCCAACGTATACCAGTCCGGTTTCCGGTTTTTGCTTTTTTATGGAGAAAAAAAAAAAAAAAAAAAATTGTTCTTCCGTGTCGAAAATTTGAATAATCTATGTAAATGTATATTACTTTTATAAAAAAAAGGTTCAAAAGTAAATAAAATAATGTTTCACATTTATTTTTTAATATATCTTGAATCTATTCTTTATTTATTTTTCTTTTTTTTGTTTTTTCGCTTGTTATTCACTTTCTTAACTTTTCCTGATAAAACTTTATTTTTCTTTTGACGTACTTGATCATATTTTCCTCTTTTAGCCGAAGTTTTCTTCACCTTGACTTTCCTTTTAGTCATTTTTACTTTTTTCTCCATCTCAATCCATTCATGTACTGCAGTTCTAGCGATAAAACACTTGCTCTTCCCATTGGATGGTTCAGACTTCCACATGTGGCATCTTTGGATACCATCGAATTTTATGGAACTATTCCTATCTTTAATTTTCTCGTTACGAAAATTTTGAAGTTCTTCAGATTCTAGGTGTATTAACTGTATTGAGGTAGTATAGCTTTGAACATATTCAACAAATTTTTCAGCACATTGAATAGCGTCGATCTCGGAAGAACGTAAATTATGTACCGTTGCATAATGTTTTACTAAACCTCCTAAACCATCAACAGCACCTTTCCCATGATCGGTTGCAGAAAATATCCATTTTTTATTAATGGTTCCTTTTCGAAACTCATGCAACTGAAAACGATTTTTAAAATGACTTGCAGCACCGTCCGATAATATGGTGATCGACTCCAGTACAATATTGTCTTCACTAAGTGTGCTTTCAATTATATCAATAATTTTTTTCATCGCTAATAAAGCATGACAAAAATCATGTTTTTGGTCATCGCTGACAACAACAAAACTCTTCACCATATTTCCTACATAAATAACTACAGTAAAAATTGAAATCTGTTTGTTTACCCAGTGGTTTCCTTGAACGGGATTTTTCAAAATTACTGTCCAATTCTCAGCAAAATCAATATGCATCAATAACCATCGACAGTTTTTTGATACTGCTTCTTTTTCAGATTTTATTTCTAACCTTTGTATTTCCTTAATCCTTAAGTGAGAAATAATTTTGATGGTATGCTCTGCAATCTCTTCCTTGAACGTAGCAATAGATACCGTTCTCATTTCTAGAGTACCTTTACTCCAAAATGCAAATGATATTTCACTATATACCTCAGATTCGTCAATTTTTAATTTGTCGAATGTGATGCCATTAGCGCCAGGGCATGAAGTGCATTCTTGAAAATTACAAGACTCTGTAGGGGCTGAACAAACAACATTTGATAACATTTCAGAGCGCATACTCGAAAGACTAGTACTTGTTTGCCCAATAAAATTTTTCAAAGCAATGAGAAGTAGATCAAAATTTGCACAATAAATACATAACCATACATCGTTCACTGGATCTATTAGTATATATTTTGGGCGCATTGAGTAGAATTTTGATTTGCTAATTTTTATACTAAGATTGTCTTCTTTGAAAACTTTGTATACTTCCTTCATACTCCTCGTTAAAAAACGTTTAATTTTTTTCACCCTTTGCCCATGTTCAATCACAGTAATAACGTCACATTTGTTAGGACTTTGTCTTGAGCAGTTAAAATCATCGTTCAAAAAATATTGCATGACTATTTCACTTGTTTCTTTTTCTAATGGATGTCCATTATAGCGATCTGGTTCACTGAAAATTCCTATAATCGAAAATTACACAATAAAACTTCTGCTTTTAGAATAAACTATCAACAAATATATCTAATTTTAAATATTTTAAAAATAAAGTTACCTTCATTTGAAGAAATTTTTCTTGCTTTATCAACCATGTAAGCCGTAACTTGTGGAAACAAAGATAAGTTTTGGCATTTAGATAATATAGGAGCTATAATGGTCAAGAGCTTGATCTTGTCTGAAATATTCCGACAACTATCAAAGGCTTTAGCTACGTTATCCTTTAATTCTTTGGAAATATGACCCAAATAGCTTTGCTCTTCCTCAAGTGGTGTATCATACATTTTTCTTAACTTCCGGCTCGTAGCTTTAGTAAACGATGACACGAGTTGTCTTTTTTTTAAGAACATATGTTTCGATGTTCATGTGGGAAAGATTTCCTTTTTTTCGCAAAGGCGATACTGGATTTTCCAATTTTGAAATAACTG